TTGAAATTTTACTTAGCAGATATACCCATGCGGTTTTTTTTTGTATAACCCTTAGAAAGATATATGTAAGAGTGCCTATAGACAGAATTGTTTGTTTATTTTTGAATTAGAATCTAATTCAAAAATTGAAAGAATCTCATTTCATTTTTATGTGTTCTTTTTGGACCAAAAATCTTTTGGCCCATCGACAAAAACCTTGCCCATTTTGCCCATCGTTTTTTTCCGATACAATAGAAGTTTGCCCATTGGACTAAAAATCCTGGTTACGCCGCTGCACCAGTTGTAAGTGTAAGAGTGATAGAGAAGAACGCAGTGAGCCAAACAAAAAGAGATTACAATATTCTAATCTATAACATAAAACATGCAATGAGCTAAAACGAAAATCAGCTAAATAAAAAGCAAACAATTTTCTTGCTCCAATGAATTAAGTGTAAGCGGTGGTCGAGCTGAATGAACAGTTTGCAGAAGTTCGTCACATTTTATGGGTGCGTATACGAGAGATCATAACGTTTCTTACGAATTTAAAGTAATTTTTGTTTGGTGTAGGTGTGACTGAAGTGAAAGTTAGAAGCACGATTCCATAATCAGCGCAGTTATTTCATTTAAGTTGACTGTGGTGATGCTTTTAACCTATCTTATATTACATTTTTCTGCTTTCAAAATTTGAAAAAATTAAACTGATGAATTTTTGATTGATCGTTATCTATTCGAGTATTAATATCCAACAGCAACAGATTTTGATAGATGGTGCGTTACTTACTGAAGTAAAAAACTGTTACAGTCGAGTGGGTTGATGGTATGAAATTACAATAGGCATATTTCTAAAGATGGATCGCGCTAGATATAATACTATATGTTCAATTATTCTTCTTTGCCACTTTTTAAAACAATGAAAACGACATCTGTATGTATCGACTCTTTGATATTTCTTTCAACAGCAATAGTACGACCCCAGAATAAAATAAAACTCATCGTTGTGTACTCTTTAGCGTATTATATAAAATAAAAGTATATCTTCTTTATTGTGTTTATTCTGTCTTTTTATTGGCGTACGAGATGCTTAATAAGAAGTAAATATATGTGTTTGCTACAGACACATGCATACAAATAACTCAACTGAACCAAACAGACATTCTAAAAGTAGTCCGGTATTTTTGAGCGGTTTAGCTTTGTTTGTTTATCTATTTCTCTCTCAGAGCGCTGCAGCGGACATTAAAAGTAGTCAAGTTTGTTCATCAGGTTGTATGTGACTTTTTTGGCGTCTCGGAACAAAATGACCATTTAAAAGTAGTTTTGATACGAATCGTTATGAAAATGTCGCGACATAAGACAACTGGTTTGTCTATCAATAGATTGTCGTACTGGACAGTGACCGAAACGGGTCAGCCAAACGTGATCCGAATCAATATCTTTTACGTTGACCCGAACTCGATCCGATCCGAACGTGAGTTTTTTCAACTGTGATCCGAAATAGACCCGAAACATGACAATGCTTTCGCACACATTCGCAAAGAAACGCTTCTTTCCTATAGAAAAGTTATCTTAGGCAGATTGTTTTGAAATTTTTTCAAAAAAATGGTCAGACGATTTCTGTCACTTTTTCCTTTTATGGGTGAAAAAGCTTGGGTAATTCAGGCACTTTTGACCTGATTCGAACCGACCTCGAATCAATATCTTTTATTGTGACGTGAACCCGACCCGTTTCGGTCTCTGATACTGGATACTAATTATCTATATTTGTTTGACTAGAGCTTCCAGTGAAGCTCTTTTTCTCAAAAAACCTAAAAATGAAGTCTTTTTTCATGTATCAACATTTATCTAGCCATATATCAACAAAAACAAAAGTTAATCGTAATCTGATAACGATAACGAATTCATTATCATCATCAACACCAAATAAAAATAGCAATTCTTTTGCTTCGATAGTAAGACGAAATGAAAAATGTGAAAAAACAACAGAAACAAAGAAAAAGAGTAGCAGTAAAAAATGGCGAAGATCAATTACCAACATCATCGTCTGTTGATAACGATACAAGCTACGATTATGGTTCTCAGTGCCAACCTTGACAAAATTCATCGCCAATGCAAACCACATCAAACGAAAACTTTTAGTCATCGATAAAATACGAAAAACGTGCAATTGTTACTGTACATGACATTTAAACACAACAAAATGGTGGATCCAATAAAAGTCACGATAGAAAGTAAACGAAATGTATCGATCGTACAAGAAAAACGATATTAAAAATATTAAAAGTTCTTCTTTCTTGTGAATGCTTTTCATATTTAGTTGAATATAATTCGACCTAGACAAAAAAAATATACCGCTGTGCTTATTGTATATTAAGATTTGTGTACGTTTGTTTTACTTGGGTCATAAACAAACAAACTATCAGTGTAGTTATACTAAATTTTATCTGTCAGATATAATTAAAGTTAATAAATGTTCTTTTTTTTTGTGATCTTCATATCGGCAAAGCATTTTATCCGAACCGATGCAAGGGTTCATAACTGGACGATGAGCTAAGAATGAGTAGTGAACTCGATCGATCGAAACTAATTTGTTTAGTCTCAGACATGTTTATGTTTTTATTCTCAGTGTGTCAAGTTTATCTTTCCGCCCTTACGTTGAATAGAAGAAAACCATTTAACTTTAACGTTTTGACTTCAACTTTGTGTTGAGTCTAAGAATATTTTTTTCTTTTCCTTCAGATCATTCAAATCGTTCAAAAGTATGAACGACGAAAAAGATGAATATGACGACGATAGTTCGTTAATCGAACGAGTCCAAGCATCGTCAACATCTTCATCTGCAACTATCAATGTTCCAAATCGAAGTCGTACAAGAGGCTCAGCCAAGTTTCAACAGACAGTAGTAACTACAACATCAGATGTATTATCGCGTAAAAGTGCACCTACTACGAAGATGCAAAATAACACAACAGTCGATGAAAATACCATTCAGAAACCGTTAATAATAACAGCATATCATCAGAACCCTTTGTCAATAAACCCAGAAAATGGTGATATTGTTACGTTAACAGACGGAATTCGAAAAAAATGGAATGGTATACAATGGTCAGTAAAATAATTTGTTTTTTGGCGTCTATTTATTTGAAATGATTTGGTATTGTGTTCTTTAGGAGAAAACTATGCAGTAAACCAGCATGCCCATATTATATGCAAAGTAAAACCTTATGTAAACAACATCTTTTACAACTTCAAAAAACAGAAAGGAAAGAAGCAAGTGAAGAGGAATCCATAACAATGCCAACAAGACAAATGGATATTACAACAAATGATGCTGATTCGAGTCAAGTTTTAAATGATTCATCATCTATTATTCTCAATTCAACCACAGTAAACACATCCAATGCAGCTGTTGAATTACAGCAGTCAGAACTGCCCATAAATCCTGTGAAAGGTGATGTCATCATTTTGGAAAACGGTATACGAAAAAAATTTGATGGACGACAATACAGGCGTTTATGTGATAGAGACAACTGCTTGACATCTGTACAAGGTCCCATCTATTATACGAATGGTCTATGTCCAAAACATTGGCAAGACAGTCAATTGAATGCCACTGAGTCAGATCCAGCACATCAGTCGCAGCCACAACAACAGTATTATTATCAAAAAAGTGATCGAACATCGACTCATCAACGAACAAATAGTATGGAAAAAATCGATACGAATGGACGACCAACGATTACCACAACAACACCATCTGCGGTAACAGGGACACTATTGCTTACATCACAAAAGGTAAAAGTTGCTGGTCGTCGTGCAAAATCATCAATGAGTAAAAAACGTCGTCTGGTGTCCTCAGGGAGTACAGTACCGAAACCTAGTCGTCGTTTAACAGTAGCTGCCACGTCATCATCCGTAAATCTGAATAATCCAACAAAAGGCGATGTTGTTCTCTTAGAAAACGGTTCACGTAAAAAGTTTGATGGCGTGGTATGGAGAAAAACCTGTTCACTTTCTCATTGTTTCATTGCTGCACAAAAAAATGAATTATGTCGAAAACATTATTTACAATACAATGGACAATTAGATGTGGCTATACGAGATAACAATAATGAACATTCAACAGTATCAAAAAGTAATTCATCATTATTCAGTTCAATACATGGAAAACGATATAATAAGGCTTCGAACTCCTGAGCATGCTCATCCTTTGCTTAAGAAATAGTAGGATTTTTACATAATGTGACGTTAAAATCTAATGAATCTTGTCTTTATTTGTAGAAAAAAGCACATCCCCGATGGAAAAAAGTAATGAAACGAAAACTAAATTTGAAGATGAAGAAAATTATGATGTAGCAAACAGTATTGGTATGATCTTAATTAATTAATATACACTACTTCTCTCTTCTACTTTTCATGATATTTGATTAATTTTTTGTAGACAGTTCGAATGAGGAAGAAGAACATGAAGTCGCAGATTGTGAGTTAAACATTTATTCGCCTAAACCAATATATATATTCTATTCTTTTTTATTTAGATGAAGAAAAAGAACTTGACTGTGATGAGGAAAATGGGGAAGTTAATGATGATGATGATTTATCAGTTGATTATATTGAAAATAGTTTAATTAATTCATTATCAGCTAGTCGAGAAAAATTTCCAACAAGTATATTGAAAAAATGGTTGTTTGATCATAAAGATAATCTTTATCCAACACATGAGGATAAAATAAAATTGGCTGATCAATCGAATATCACCTATGAACAAGTTGGAACGTGGTTTAATAATGCGAGAGCAATTTTAAAAAGACGACAAAAAAATTTTCAACAATCAACAATTCCATTCGGTCAACATCAACGGAAACGTGGTAGTATGAAATCAAAATTAGAACTATCAACAAATCTCGGTGCAAATTGTAAGTTTTTGTTGAAATTCATGTCCTGAGTTGGTTTCAAAGAGTTCTAATTGGATGGTATTGTAATCCATTGGGGCATATATGTGTTCTGTCGTTCAATTTTACAGTTTTCGCTGTCAAACTTCCATTTTTTGCAACCAATGTCATATTTGAAATCAGCATCAAAAACTGAATCGACTGATGTATGTTTTAATGGGCTTGAGTCCATTATAACGATATAAAAATATTGCCGTTATTTTCTAGCTAAAATGAGTTGAAAGTTCTACCGTGACTAGGAAAGGTACTTCAGGTATGGGCGAAAAACTAAAATTTTTCATGAATTTACAATATTTGAATGAAACAAAACATAGATTTTTTGACTCAATTTTTCACGTAGAATAAAAATAAAATATTTATACAGTTATCTAAAAGCTATGCACAGATATTTTGGCTAAGTTTTAAAAATCAGGCCTCTTGTTAAGGATTTTAAAAATTTTCAACATCAAAAAATTTTTTTCAAACGTTAAAATACACATATTCAGATTTACTCGGTAAGCTCTATCCAATAATGTATAAACATCGAAAAAATAAATTTCGCTCGAATTTTGAATTTTCGACATCTTAATCCCGTTCCCAAGGAATTAAATTAAATTTTACATGGCTTTATTTTTAGTAGATGGAGTTCAATTTTTGAATGATATTTCTACACGCTCAATTGGCATTCAATGTAATCCATCTGTTGTCAATCAATCGACGACAACCACAACAAATTATAATATACCACAAATTAAACAAGAATATGAACAGAGAATGATTCGAACTGTACAACCATCATCCAATGAAAATAAGGATAATTCGAATATGCAACATGACAGTGAAAAAATATCAATCGAAAACAAATCAAATGAAAAATTATTTTCAGAAAATGGTTATGATGTGAAAATTGATCATTTAATGGATATTGTACCTGCACAATTAACTAATGATTTATTATGGAAATACGATAGACAAGAAGAAATTATTATTACAAGTACCTGTTTGAATGATGATCAAATGGTAAGAATGAGCGTATGAGACTTTTTTCGACTAGTCATCATCGAACATTCATGAGACTTTTAGACCCAATTAAAAGAATTCTGCACCAGATTTGAGGTAAAAATGTCACAAGTTGTTGATCAAACTACGACACATTTAATTACAGATGAAGAGGATAATTCATTAATATGTCCTCTATCAAAAAAAGTCATTCAAGCTGTTGCACGTCACATGTATGTTATCAGTTATCGATGGATAAATCAATGTTTAGTAAAAAACAAAATAATCGATGAGAAAAACTATGAAATTCGTGGTGATTTAACACTTTCATCGGATCATAATGGTGAGTAACAATTGTAATATGTTATTCTATAATTACACAAAATTGTTTAGGTATGCAACGTTCACGTTTAAATGTATTACCAAAAACAATACCATCAACGTTACTCCTTGATAATTATTCGATAATGATTAAATGTGATGGATGCCAAGATATGATGAATAATGATGAATTAATTGAACTTGTTCGATTAAGTGGAGCAAATTATACTACAGATTCACATTTTTCTCGAATATCACGTTCAGTTATACGTGTTGTTCTATGTGAAAAAGAATATTTACATAATCGAAAAGAAATGTACGATAAGTGTGTCAAAGTCGGTGTTCATTTTCTCACACCTGAATGGTAAATGATTCAATTAGAATTCTCTATCAAGACTCAATTGTCTTTTGTTTTTGTCTTTCAGGTTTTTGGAATCAATTGTGCAATATAAAGTTCAACCATTTCATGAATATCAAATTATACCATCAATTGAACGATAAATATGCATGTATATGACTTTTTTTTATCAATAGATATTGATCTGAAGAAATTTTTACGTTATTCAGCAAGATAACTTTTTAGTACATGTGTATCCATGCGTATAACTGTCTGTCTGTTTGTTTTTAAAAGTTCTTGCCTGGTTATTGAATCTCTCTTTCATATTTTTATCCCGGTTAAACGGATAGTTAGTAAAGAATGTTTTACTTTTTTGTTTTATTTTGTTTTGTTGTGTTTTGTTTTCCCTTTCAAAAGTAAACAGGAACAGAATGAAATAATAGCAAGATTCATATTTCCCAAAGTCAGATGAAGTATTATTATTCTTACTTATTCGTAAATGTTCATTACAGTTTTTTGCTTATATATGTTTTTCTTTTTTGTTATCTCTTTTTTGTTTGTTTTATTTTCCAACAAATCAGATTTTTTTTTGTTGCTGTAGAACATTAATTATTATTATCAGCGAAAAACTCATTATTAATTTTGTTGTTATAACTTGTTTTTGGCTTATTTGTTAATATAGTTTTGAAAAAAAACTCATCAAAATACGAAAAAAGAATTTGTCATTTTGTTTAATTAAACAAACACTCTGATTCTGTAGCGACTTTTATTTGACTTGTATAAAGACAACAGATTTTAGAAACAATATTAAACCAGAATATTAGATAGAGTTCATAGTTTGTTAGAATAAACAGATATTCACCACACACATCATATTTTTATTCTAGATTAACGTCCGGATTTATTTCAAATGAAACAGGGCAATTTAAAAAACAAACGATGATATTTTGTTTCGTGATTATAGAAATGTATTAATAACGACAACTCAAGTGATTGATAAAAACTTAACCAACTCTAAGAAATCAATAGCAAATGTTTTAAACAACAATCTCAATAATAACAGAATGAGAAAATAAGAACAACGTGAACCATCAAAAAGTTGTTCAAAAAACTCAAAAATAACAAAAATGTGTGATCATAACCGATTTGGACCGTGTGGGAGTGGTATAAGGGAAAGAATTAAAAATCTATGTTCTGCCGGTTCGATATTCTTTTAAGTTTACGTCTAGTGAACATTAGAACAATTCAACGAATAGAAAGATAATCCGTATCCATCATTAGATAAAAAACAGTTGTTACCCAAACAACCAAATATGACTGTTGAATATGTGAGAAACTGGTTTAATAAACATCGAGCCAAGTCAAAACAACAACAGAAAACAAGTAGTACCCACCCCAATATTTTATATACTAAAATTTAGTGACAGATGAATTCGATGAAACATTGATGTGTACTTTGGAAAAGCAAGTTGTTAAGAGCTAGTACTCATAAAATATTTGTTGTATCGTTTCGATGTATAAATGAATGTTTAAAATAAGAGAAATTATTAACTGAAGAACAATTTGAAATATTAGTGCTCGTCTATTAGCCGAAAATACTGGACGATAGTTAGAAATTGGAAATGGACGATATTTAGCACGCACAGATACTAAACAACAACAATGTCAGTTAATACCCGTTAATTATTTTATTATGATAAAATCCCATAATAATTACCTAGAATCTAATAATTATGAATTAGCCGAATTGATTTATTTGTCTAGTGAAACATTTCTTGTTCAAAAACATTTTTTCGATACTCTTTATCCAAAACATGGCATTATTTTAGTAAAAAATGAATCGATAAAGAATGTACAATTATATCAACTTACGAGGGAAGTACCCCAACTGATAAATCGCTTTTTGAACGAAATCTAGTGGACTATAGATAGTCGACGATGCTGATTCCCGAATATCACCATGACTGCTGCTGCTAGGCCTTCAAAGACCGGTCTTCTGGAAATTAATGATGTGTAATTGTAGTCTATACATTTCTGACTAAAATGAGGCATCTTCCTACTCACGACCTTTCTTTGCAAAGTTATAGAGATTTAGGGCTTTTTTTGTAAATTCTTTTTCCTTTTTCTGTCTGTAGCTCTGAGGTGACAATGAACATTTAGGGCTTTTCCTGTAAACTCTATAACTTTTCAAAGAAAGGTCGTGTAGAGCTGAGAGATGTCTCGTTTTAATCAGAAATGTATAGACTACAATTACACTTCATTAAAAAAGCTTTTGATTGTTCTTTAGAGTTTCTCGAAAACTAGTTTTCCAGAAGACCGGTCTTTGAAGGCTTAGCAGCAGCAGTCATGGTGATATTCGGAATCAGTATCGTCGACTACCTTTAGTCTACTAGGTTTCGTTCAAAAAGCGATTTATCAGTTGGGGTACTTTCTTCGTTAGTATACAAAATAGTGTCAAATTTCTTCATTCTTCATGGTTAATCACATCAGTAGTCATGCAAATTCAGCCATTTTCACAATACAGATCGTCACCCGTTATTGATTGACATCCATCACGGTGTTTCATTGTAGTGCGAGGACAAATCCATCCAAAGAATGAAGAAGATTTTTTTGAACAATGTTTTCTTTTATGTGATAGTAATGTTTTTGCTTATTTTTGTTGTGGATCATAATCATATCATCCAAATCGACGTTATCCTATTTGTCTATTACTGAACAGTGATCTTACTCAAATTTTATGTTCATCAATCGGAGTTTTATATGTTTAATTTAATTCTTTTTGATCTACATCACAAAACACTGTATTTTCGTTCAATTTCAATTTTTTAGTTTTTCTAAAACAGATGACTTTTTTTTATTGTTGATTTATTGACTTTTGAAAATAAATGTTCAAAATAGATTTGAGCCTGTCTTTCCGTTGAGAAGAGGTATGTAGTATATTGTTAGTTGAAACATGAATATATAGTGATTAGAACTCTTCATAATCGCTTGTATTTATAGTTCAAAGAAAATGATCTTTCTACCATTGAGGAAAATAAGAGCGAAGATGAGTAAACTGCTGTCAGATTCATTTTTAATTAAGTAAAGTTCGAATCTTATTTAGCTAATTTGAAGACAAAAAAAAAAGTGTAGAATATTATTGTTTATTATCTTCAAAAACTGTTTGAAATATTATTTTTGAAAAAAATAGGTTTTCATATGTTGAAGTTTAAAAGAAAAAAGAAATATATTGATTAAATAACAGAATGACATACTAGAGCAAAAATATTCTTTTAATTGAATTAAGAAAAAAAAGTTTTATCACGTAAAACTTTTTTTGCTATACTTTTTCCTGTTCTCTGTTCATTTTCTATTTTCATTGTAATTTTTAGAACTCTTGTCGTGTTACAACATCCGATGATCACCTTCCCATCCATGCATCTCTAAGGTGTCGAAAAATCTTTTTTTTTTCATCTTTTTTCTTTAAAGTGGGTGTTTTTTTCTTCTCTCGACTGTTGGAATAACAAACAATACAATCCGCCGAATGATTGTTTGTGTGTATATGCTGTTTTTATTACTCTTGATTTTTTTTGTCAATTTCTTGTGGAGAAAAAAAATAAGCGGAGCAAAAATAATAATAATTATAACAGAAATTGTAGTATCTAATATGGTTTTGGTTTTTAAGCTAACCGAGAAAGAAGAAAAGAAAGAAAAAACGAAAGCAGAAAAAAAAGAGTGAAACAGAAAAACCATCCAAAAAACATATAGTGATAACTAATGATAAAAAGTGCCACAGAAAAAAGCCATGCACTTACATTGAGGAAAGAAAGAAAGAAAATCTTTTCGTTCTCTTACTATTTGTTCTTGATGATGATGATGGTACGGTACATAGACTTCGTGTGTGTGATTATTGTGTATTGTTTCTTCTTTTGGAATAGACTTAATTCAAAATGAAGTGAATTAATTATTTAAAAAATATTCGCAACTATGTTACAGCAACTGACAAATAAGGCATTTTGTGAGTCTTGTTCAACACCATTGAACAACAACAACAACAACAACAACGACAACAGCAGTAGACGTGCGAAAAATAAGGTGGATAATAGCAAATCTGCATCGTTTTTGTCGTTGAAAAAATATAATACAGTAATAGCTAAACAACAAAAGCGTTTATTTCGTCGTTTTAATATTTATCCTCAACAGCACCAAAAATTGATTTATGATGAACTACATCAATCGACATTGTTACACCAGTCGAACGATGATGTATGTATGTATGTATAATTTTTTTGTTTTGTCTTTCAAAACCAAACTTGATGACTTTAAGAGAAAAGTGATGTTTTTTGATGAACATGGGCATATTCATACCTGGGATGTGCGAGAAATTATTGGATATAATATACCGCACGCACAGCAGGCATTTTTCTAATAACTGGTTGGCAACAGAATTTTTTACTGGTAAAACATTTTTTCATGAATAGTTATCATTACTTAGTCATCTCTGATACTCTTAAAGAAAAAAGAAACATTTTCAGCAAAAAAACACTACTTTTTGTGCTTTTTTCATGGAAACAATTTCGAAGGATAATTATTCGATCCAAAACTTATTGTATTATACATAATCTGATGCAACTTGACACGCTGATTCCGAATATGACCTTAGTTTTTTCACACAGTGTTCTTGTGCTGAGAAGAATAGATTTTACTTAGAAAACCAAGAAGTTTCGGAAAACCTATAGCAAGGTCCAGAAACAACAACGCTATTTGGCGCCAAAACCCATAGATATAGTATAGGCAGAAGAATACTTGTGTAAAATTTGAACGAGATTGAGTTTAGGAAAACTTGGGAACTTCACTAAACTGAATAGACAGTTTTTTTAATAACTATTTCTAGCGTGAAAAGTAATTTTTTCTATGCGAATTTGAATTCAGTCTAGATAATGTTTTCATTAGTAAGTAGCTTATAGAGCAGAGAATTGTTCGTGACTTTCTTTGTAACGTTTGCAAACATTTAAGTTTCCGAAAAAGTTAATTTTTACTGTTTTAGTCAGTTTCTGAGCAAATTTTCTAGTTCAAACTTTCTCATTGTTCCGCTAGTAATAAGAAGTTGATATTCTAGGAAAAGATAGCTACTATATATCCAACTTGATGATGAAAAAACCAAAAATATTGATTTCAACTTTTTTTGTCTAAATATCGGACTGTTTAATCTACTATGTCACTGTATTTGAGTTAGGGAGTGCATAGAAAACATAAATATTTATTCGTACTTTGTTTTCGATACATTGCTGGTAGATAATATGATATCTTAATTAAAGTCTTGCTTGTTTCAGTTTCAAATTAAACAATTATCCTCGTTCCGCCAACATAATGTACATAATTAAAAGAATTTAGCTAAAAAATATTCAGCTAAACTATCGTGCATTAGGAGAAAAGTTGTATTTTATACTGCTGATTATGACAAGAGATCAACTATTGACAATTGATCTATTAATAGTCGTTCTACTATAATGCTAGTCGTCTATGAATAAGAGAGAAAATTTTCATTTAAAAGAATAAATATATTAACGGAAATATGTCACGTATGAATTTTTCATTTTCAATAGATAGAGAGATTGACCTCGGATGACTTCGTAAAATAATTGAAACATTTTGCATACGTAAGTGTATTCCGAGTTGAACATTCTCTTTCTGTAGATAAAAATCTATAGACATTTACCTTTAGTTGATCATTCAAATATTGAAGGATTATTATGCACTCTTTATCTTTTTATGTAAAATAATTTTGTCAAAAATGCAATTATCGTTTTGTTTTATCAGATCTAACTTGTATATAAGTCGCCGTTTCTCACTATTACATTAAATTATTTTTTTCCGACTAGAAATTTGCTAGCACTGTGAGACTACTAAGAATTAATCAATTCTAGACTCGGTTGACATGCTCGAATAGCGAAGATAATAAAGTTTCAATTATCTAATTCCCTTTTGGAGACATAGATAAAGAACATCTCTAAAATTCAACTTTTTTCACATGAGTGTTCAGTGAAAGTTTGTGCACGTTTATCTACTGCTTTTCAGTATGCACGTGCTAACTTTTTCTCAGTTTTCGACCTAGAGTTTGAGAACTACATAACCTATCAACCCATCTTATTCTTGTCAGCTCTTACGAATTGACAAAAGAACGAGTTAAAATGTATTTTAGTTAATTAAATTCAAACATTTTCTTGTTTTTTGTCTAACCTATCGTCATATGATAAGCTGTATTTGTGTCGATTAATTAAGTAGATGGATTTCTTCTATTAATATTTAATTTTATTATCAAAATGTGTTTAGTTTTACTGCATGTACCGGTTGTTTAATATGTAAGTACCAGATGAGTAAAAGAAAAAAAATAATATTAACATTACATTTCCTACTTTTTCATTCCTTTATATAAGAAAAAAAAATTACTGACTAAACGTTATAGTCATTGTCTCATTTATATATACCTAGATCAATGAAAATCTATGTGTTCTATTTTTTTGGTACGAAGTGGGTCGCATGATAAAGAAAAAATGATGACATGTGGAAGTACATTGTCTTCAGCTTAGTGTCTCATTCAGAAGAAGTCTAAAGATGAAAAAATGAATAGATAATAGAAAATATAGACCGTTGTTTTCTATTTTGATATCTCATATATCCCTAGTTTTAGCATACTACTTCATGTTCAAGTGTGATCAGCAACGTGGAATTAATTTAAAAAAAATAATTTGTTAGAAAACACAAGACAAAATAAAGTAGATAAGAATGGTGATATCTTTTTGTAAAAAGAAATTTGAGTTTGTTCTCTAGTCAGAACTGTGATTTTTCTTTTCTTTTTTTTCTACCTGTTTGTATGTCATGAAAAATAAAGGTATAACAAGCAGGTTTGTGTCATGTTTATTCCTTTAGTGATTGATCATATACAAATAAAATAAATAGCTTGTTTAAATACTTTTAGCCTATATGAGTGATCTGATTTTCAAATATAGAGTGCATTCATAACTAATGAATAATTTTCATCATTTTGTTGTATTTATCCTTTATCCTTTATTTAACAATTAATGACTAGCATTTTTTTCTCGAATGATTGATTAAAAAGAGAAAGATATTTGCTCCATTACTGGTTCATTGATTCGTGACTCAGTAAAACGTGAGTCTATGCGTGTTTCTACTAGACGTGAAAATTGATCAGATTTTCAGAAGCGGTAAAATATATATATTTATGTCTTTGTGAATGAAAGTGTAATTAGAGAAACGGATATCCATTGGTGAATTCATTTTTTATCCTTATTTCATTCATATTTTACTCCTATTTTTTTATGGGTAGGTGTAGGATAGGGTGAGAGTAATTCATAATATCCAGCATATCTCTACTCTTATGATTACTAAATCAGAGTTATGAATCAAAGATATTCGCAATTTATATATCTTATAAAATTTTTTAATAGAAAATATCTGTAATCATTGTCAGCTGACAATAATTACAGTTGTAATTGAAAGATTTGTATGTTAAAATAATGATTGTTTACCTTATATAGTTAATTTGTTATCGCCAATCAAATTTGGTATAAAAATATATCATAAAGAAATAAGAGACAAAAATCATTAAATTCGCTTGATTCTTTCCAAAGTACAAATGTATGGTTGTTGTAAATTGTAAAAACGACTAATGATAATGTCTATCATCGAGTTTTTGTTTTTAAATTATCATTTATTGTCGAGACATGTGGTACCTGTGAACGTTGGAATAAAAAAAAAATATATATATTCCAACGTCTTTTAATAAAAAAAACGAAAAACAATTATTTTAATCATAAAAGAAGAAGAATCTTTCTTTAAATCAAACAAATATTCTTACTTTTCAAATGTTTTTATACCAAATATGTGTTATTCTAATTCGTATAGATGTCCAATTTAATCTGTATTTATATGATATTAAAAAACTAAAATTCAAGAATCCAATTCTCATTTTGATCCTATAGGAACGTTAGAAGTTTGTTATCAAGAAAAATGTATTGCTTGTATTTGTAATTTTCAAGCAAATATGAAATGATTTTAAAATTAAAAATCTCAAGAGAGAGCACGTGATCAATCCTATTCGAAATTTGAAAAAAAAAAAAGAAGAAAATAAAAATAAATTAGAATAGAATGAAAAATATTTCTAGTTTTATTCTATTCTATCCGATATCCTTTGTTTAATACTAAATTCCTGATATGTAATTTTTAGAACGGACTTCTCTTTCTTAGTTGTATAATTGTCCGCAAAATAAATCTTTTGTCTAGTAAATATACCAACATAGACTTATCCCATATTTTATCTCACCATTGTGTGGGTGTATATATGTAGAATGAATGGAGAAGAAAAAAAAAAAGTACAGAAAATATATTAGACCTAGTCATAGACTGCAAAACAGGAGATAGAAAAAAATAATAAATTCAATAAGAGTCAACATTTCCAAATGCATTTATACAAAACAATTTTGTACAGGAAAAACCATTTTTTGATTGTGAAATGCATACATGTGTGGTTAAAACATTAAAAATTAGTTTTTTCCAACGGAAATGAATACAATTTTTTTCTTGTGCTCATTTGTGCGAAAGAATTTTTTGATTAGCTCGTGTTACTGTTTTTGTTTCTCAGCGGTGTACTAATGACTAATGAACTAATAGAATTTCTCTCTCATTGTTTTTAATGACGTAAATTAACGATCTTAAATCTAAAAATTAAATAATTTCTACTACGTAATGGACAATTCAGAAGAGACATTTTTTTTTTCTTATTTTAACATCTGCCATTTATATTCCATGCAGATCATGATGATGAATATGGTCTATTATGTGACTGACTGAACAGATATTGTCTAACATTGTGCTTAGTTGTTTTGAAATACAAGCATTAATAACTTACATGCTTTAAGTTGAGGTGCAAATAGAAAATGAGCTGCTTATTAATCCTAAAATTCATTCCAAATACAAATAATTATTTAAAATGATATCATTTTCATACAGTATTCTAATAAGTAAAATTCTTTTATTAAAGATGACAAATTTAGGTCTATGATATACATTTTTTTCGTATCATCAATTTAACAGCCTATATTTTTGATTTTTTAGATGTTAAACAGTGAACTAAATTACAATAATCAATCACCAAAATCGATTTCAACGTTTTTTTCATCATCATCATCATCAAATGATGCAATTCCAAATACAACAGTTGAACATTTGTCTGTAACGCCAACGATAACAAATCAACATCCACAACAAAGACAAATGAAAATAGGAAAATATTATTTAGAAAAAACAATTGGAAAAGGAAATTTTGCTGTTGTAAAATTGGCCACACATTGTGAAACAAATCAAAAAGTATTTAAAATATTATTACGATTATTATTAGAAATATTTGTTATAATATGAAATATTTAGGTAGCAATAAAAATCATTGATAAATGTCGGCTTGATGGAAATGAACAAAAGAAATTAGAACGAGAAATAGCTGTAATGAAATCACTTTCACATCCGTATGTCATTCGATTATATGAAGTATGTTTCATTTATATGAAAAAGTTCGTATAATATGATAAGATATATATCTATATTTGTTATTTTTATCACTTAGGTTATGGAATCTAAAAGTCTTATTTATTTGGTAACAGAATATGCTGCAAATGGAGAAGTACTAGGTATTCAATGCGTTTATAAATACCTTTATTATGTATTTTTTAAAAGATATATAATTGTTTTAGATTTACTTATTCGAGAAAATCGTTTAAGTGAATGTAAAGCACGTGAAAAATTTAAACAATTACTTATTGCGGTGGATTATATTCATTCAATGAATATTGTAAGGATATCATTATAGATTAAAAATATAATTTTATTTATTTTTATCTCTTTTATTCGTTTCAGGTACATCGTGATCTTAAAGCTGAAAATCTTTTATTAGATAGTAATGATAACATTAAAGTAGCAGGTAATAAAGAATGAGTCGATTTTGTCTTTTTTTTCTCCTTTGTATAAACATCATTGTATGTTGCATTTCTTGCTTAGATTTTGGTTTTGCTACTGTATTTGAAGCAAATTCACACTTACGAACATTTTGTGGCTCTCCTCCGTAAGACTTTTTTTATTTTTATTTCAATGAATAATAATTAGTTGAATACTTCGCTTGTTTTCTAGATATGCTGCTCCCGAATTATTTCAATGTATGTACATCTTGTTCTTTAAGCTCTTTCTTATTGTTATTAGTAATAAGAACTTGTCTAGGTTAAATAAAGAACAGATAAAAAGTTCAATCGGAGTTTAGTAAAAAAAAACGAGAATGATATGTTTTATAAAGAGGATGAGAAAAATTAAGAATCTCAATTTTATCTACATAGTATTGAGATTAGTTATGCTTTTTTTCTCTCCTTTTTCAGGTTTACCTTATAATGCTCAAAAAGTGGATGTGTGGGTATGTTTTCATAGATATAAGTTTGAATTGGAAGATTCTAACTTTAAATTTTATTGTAGAGTCTTGGTGTTTTATTGTACGTATTCGTTTGTGGACATTTACCATTTGAAAGTAATAATATAATCGAATTACGTAAACGTGTATTATCTGGTCAATTTCGTTTGCCATTTTATATTAGTTCCGGTATGTACAAAAAAAATTTGCTATAAAAAAATATAGATGAATATTAATCTCTTTCAATAGAATGTAGTTCATTAATTGTAAGCATGCTCAATGTTGATCCAGAAAAACGTTATTCTATACAAGATATTATCAGACACCAGTGGATGTTACCATGTCTATCTGATCCAGATTTTTATGCTGTTTTAAAGTAAATAAGTTATATAGATGATTCATCAGCTAATCAATGTCACTTCTCTCTGTCATTATTTGGAACGAGTTTAAAAGACTGAGCTATTTTGAGGATATGTTTTTTTCAATTTTGAGTGTTTCATTTTTTAGTTCCCAAAGTTTGATACAACCTTCAATAACAGATGATATTAACAACGTTATCTTGCATCAAGCTGAGTCACTTGGATATAATCGATCACAGATACTTAAAGTAAAATATTTCTTCGATTTTACTAAGGTTTAATTAAGTTTTTCATTTGTTATTTAGTCCGTTAACGGCAACTCTTATGATAGTGATGCAGCCATTTATCATTTGTTACTTGAAAAGTTTCAACAAAATCTTCATATTGATAATACCAATACCAATCACAATCACAAAACATCTAAAGCAATAAACGAAACTATTCCAACAATTATCCCAGCACCATTTGAACATAATCAGTCATTTACTCCAAGTACGTATTTAACGTAAAAGTAACTATTATTTGAATAGATTTTCACTTTTTATAATAAAGATTACACTGATGGAACAAGAACGACAAATGCCCTTGATCTATTGGATGTATCAAATAACAATCAAATTGCACGACGTTCTACGGCACCCGTATTATTTGATACACTATTAAATCAAGATAAAGTGGTTTATTCAAAACCAAATCCAGTGAGTGATTACGCTGAATCTAATAATTAAGATAGTTACACAAAGATTATATTACGAATTTTCTCATTTTTTTTAAGTGCCTTGCATCAGTACGACTAGAGCTCGATCCATGTGATTTGAATAAAGCATCATTTTTTAATAATAACAATAATAATTGTCATAATCGAAATACAATAGCTGAAATACCCGTCGAAAATACTGAGGAAGAATTGGAAAATGAAAGTGATGTAAATGAAGCCAGTGATGATGAACAAGATGAAGCAGAGTGTGCAGCTTTGCGCCAACATTACTGTAATATGACAAACGGTCTCCGTCGACATACAGTTGGTAAACCAAATCCGTTGCTAGGCTTAGGTCATATTGGTCCTATTCCGTCCTTAACATCGAAAGTACGATTTGCTCATCAAGTTCGATCACAAAAACCCTTCACAAGACTAGAAACTTCATCTATCGAACCATCTATTCTCATAAATCAACTTTCATCATTTCAACAACAAGAATCCAATAATTTAACAACATCATCAGATGGGCTACAATCTCCACCCACATCATTCTCACATTATCAACGAAGTCGACACTCAAACAGTTATAATGGTTTACAATTTAATTCAATGATGATAAAGCCCGACGATTGTGAAGATTTACACGAACGACAACAGAAGAATAATCTCAATTGTTGTTTACTTGCACCTCCAGTATCAAATAATTTTAGTACGTATCCGTCGAGTATATTCAGTCTTTTTGTGTGGGATACGTTCAATATTATAATCTATTTTTAGATATGAATCGTCGGGCTAGCGACAGTGGTACACATCTCCAGATGTTTCAACAACTACATGTTGCACCAACTAACAGTACTGGAGTCATTCGACCAATAGAAATATCATCATCTAACGTAAGTGTGCCATTTCTTCGTGTAGAACAACTTTTTAGTAAGAATTAACAGGAATAATGAATGGTAAATTCAGTATAGATATTGATCAATACTTGTATCATTTAGCGTTCATTACGTGGCAGTATCACCCGTGGTTTACCTGTCTCGCAGCCTACTGTTCTAACCTCGTCGACCGAAGAAGACGAAGGAAAACGTCTTGCCCGGTAACTAAGTCGAAAGAATATAATTCTTTAACTTGCAGTTAAATTTGTTATTCTTTCTTCAGGTATCTACAACATAGTAAACGGCACACAGTGTGTGATCAAACCTCGTTTCTGGCAGCAAAACCAAGACGTAGTAAGAATATATTTTTAATTTTTATGAACTTTTAATTTTTTATGTTCTTCAGCACGCGATTCAACAAAAGACATTTATGGAGAACGATCCTTTTCTCGTCGTGCCAGTGATACAAATCCAAATTCATTAACATCATCAATGAGAGCACACCTCGAACGTTTATACAATACAGCTGTTGGCTCACAATCAAACGACGGTGATGAAGATGTAACAACGTCAAGTTTACAAGAACTTCAAAAACTTCAACGTCAGGTACAAAAAGTAATCATCAAATTTCTCAATTTAACAGGTTTCGTAAGAATCTATGCTACTTGGGTGGAATAGTAACACACAAGTAACTTACTTAACCTACTTTATCCTTATTAGAATATTTTGTTCATGATGCTTGTGTTTTTAGTATCCAACAGTGTCGCCACTTACTGTTACAAATGAAACAACACGTCGAGCAGGTAGTTGCAGATAAATAATTTGTTTTATTAAGACTACTAAATTTAATTTGGAAATTTAGCTGCATCTTCACCAACAAATGCACCAGTTTTACATATGATACAAGAAGAACATCACCCTGTCCCATCCGATCACCATTCAAACTTACAAAGTTTATCATCGTTGATTCCAGAAACTACTATTGATAGAACATCATCATGTAATTCCATTAATAATCAAGAAACGTTAATGGATTACGAATGCGATGATAGACAAACGTCGATACCAGCATTTTCCTACTCTTATTATAATAATGATTTAGAAAATTTTTCAATGTTTGCAAACCCATTTATTCTTCAACAGCAACAGCCACTCTATTTCACTCCGCCAATGTTTCTTGAACACTTAACTATACCGTCAACGACATCCGTTTCAGCCACAACAACAACATCCTATTCTCCTTAAATTTTTGTCAGTTTCTGGTTTTGTTTTTTTCATTTTTTCTATGTCATATATTAAATCTTTAGATCTCACTTCTTTTCATGCAAGTTAAAGCCGGTGATCTATTTATTTTATTTTGTTTCGCTCTAATGATGTGTTGTTGTCAACCTTTTGAGAAAAGGATTCTCGTGTTAGAACACACACATACACAGAGAGCACTAGCGAAGAATAGTCTTTTCGTTTCTTTTGTATTACAGTATTTTATTTTTTATTTTGAATGAAATCTCGTTATTTTTTGTTTTTTTTGGAAAATCGTGAGTTTTATCTTATAGCGAGAAACATATTTGATATTTTTGTATAATCGTTTTTTTTATTCTTTCTGCACGAGTCTTTGTTTTATTTCAACTTTTGAAATCATTCTAGTATTGTGTGCTCTTTCTGTTTGTATATATGGATATTGAACATATCTATTTTTTTGGTTTATAAAATATTACTTTGTTTTCTTAAACTAAAGGTAAAAAGTTAAATAGAAAAAAAGGCTAATTAGATTCTCTTATTGATAATACTGAAAAAAATTGCCCGATGAATATAATGAATCGTCAGTAAAAACCTAGCAAATGCCAGACAGTTGTACGCGTATAAAAATAAATTCTAAGAAATGACAAATCTTTTGATGAATAGTTGAAATGCACAAGTTTATCTTAGTTTGATTCAACAAGAAGAAAATATTCTCTACGTTAAAATATCTTATGACATTATTTCATGAGGCTTTAAAGCATCAGTGTAGGCTGACTACTGATGCGAATATGTGAGAGTTGATTTCACTTCAAAGGACTAAATATCTTTTTTTACTCACATGCAAATGAAAGCAACTGCTTAATAATGAAAGTTGCACCGTTGTTTTTTTTTGCAGGCCAGAAGTACTGCATGATCTGTCAGTTGCTCTTAGTCAGCTGATACGTTACAGGAACGAAAGGAAAACAACAATACATTTGTCTTTCTTTTCTTTTGGTGCGATTCATATTATGCTTCTTTCACCTGGCAACACGATCGTTACACGTGGAAAAAAACCATTTATAGTAAATGCAGTTGTGCAACTATGATCTTTCGCAATGTTAAGTCGTTTTGCTAGCACTAACTAAAATACATAGTTTTTAATTTCTTGAAACGGCGATTTTGTTTTGAAGATATTTGAAAAATTTTTGTGAATGGGTAAATCCATTCCTGTTTCATCGTCATTATTGTACAAGACTATCTATTATAAACGTTATTTATCAAATATTCTCGATTACATGCCGACAGCTGTAAAAACAAATTTAATTGAAGAAAATACCGAAGGTGTTCTTTTGGTATCAACACGGAATCAAGAAAATTTAAAATCATTTAATTTAGAACCATTAGCAGAGAATATCGTTCTAGTTGATCAATTAATAGTCGAGAAACAAGAAGAAACGTCGGATATCAGGTAGCAGTAGTTTGCAATTGATTAAAATACAAAATTTCGGACGTATTCTCTGTATTCATTTTAGTAACACAACAATAGAAGTCGATGCCCTTATTATTGATAATGATGAATATTTTCAACAATTCGATTGTCCAAGTGATAGTGATGATTCATTTTCAGAATACAACTATCTCGATCAATATAATTTAACATCGAAACAACACGATATCATTGAACAATATGAATTAGAAGCAGATTCATGTTGTCGATTAAAATCAAAACGTTCACATAAAAAAATGAAGGCAAAACGACAAATAAAAACAAAACATGCAAAAACAATAAAAATCAATTCTCATGGCCAACATCTCTATGTTAATCATCGTTTACATAAAATGCATCAGTTAGATCCACCAAGTTTAAACTGTATGCCATCGCCACAGTCTTCTTTTTCACCGCTGCCGTCCAAAATCAATTCATTCACTGCGCCATCATTTAGATTATGCCGTGTACCAAAACAATCGATCTGCTCGTTCACAACAACGATAACAAACATCGTTCATAATCAAGATATTCCATATCAACTACATGATTACACCATAGATGCAACAAATATTCCACAGGATATTCAAGATGAGCAAATGGTCTCTTTCTTACTTGACATGCAAAATCGTGAACTATCACCAGAAGATTATGAAATGTTATGTAGATTAGATGAACGAGTTGAACGAAAAACGGTGAACAGTTCGGTATTAGATACGTTAAAAACAGTGTATATTGAAAATATAGATGAGTATGTTGATGAGATATGTACAATCTGTATGGAGAAGTATCAATTGCAACAAAAGTTAAAACTGTTACCTTGCACTCACAAGTTTCATGATGTGTGCATTGAGACATGGTTAAAAGATTGTTCACCAAATTGTCCACTGGATAATTTGCCACTGCTCTCATTATCAGTATGACCAGATAGATTTAAACTGTTTTTATTTATTTATTTTTATAGTACAATAATCACTGTCTTATGATTATAAAGTTGAATAGATTTTATACTTGTTTTTGATAATTTCTGTAAATTCATTAAAAATGAAAAGAGAAAATAACGTAAACAGCAGAGATCTGGAACGGTTGGAAAGCTCGGCAAGTCTCGAAACCTAAGTACGCTGAGTTCCTTGAAATATTTATGAAAACACCTCATTGATATAGAATTGGATAAAGACATTTTTGAACTCTATATATAAATTCTTCGCATTTAACATTAGCAAAAAAGCACAGAGGCGTTATCAGATCAAAAATTGTTTTACAATCAGAGAACTCTGCAATTTCTTTTTCTAAAATAAGAGATTGAAATTTAGACATTAGCGTCCTCTAGTGTGTTAAACGCTAATTGGATCGAGAAATATCTGCGAAGGGATCAATCATAATTTCGATCGGTTAAATGACACCGAAAGCATTCTGATTTCTAGCATGAGTTATTCTATTTTATTGTATCCATTTCGTGAATTACCGATTTTTCTCCTCAATACGAGTTACAGGAGAAGCTTCCCTAATGGCGACGCTACGGAGAAGACTGTATTAAAACCATCTTCACATGTACATATCATCCTGATTTGATTTTTGTACCTTGGGATGGTGTTTCATATTTGAAAATTTTACACATCAGTCAGATTTGCAACAAACCAAATGACGATGAAATGAGGCGTATATGTTAATATTGGTTTAATAAAACAACGAGTCAAATGCTGAGATAAAATCAATTCTCATTTGATGTTCAATTTTTTTAGATAGTTTGTTCATGGTATAACTTTTTTTGGTGCTTATGAGACTTTTTTGTTTGTTATCAATAACATGTCAAATTTTGCAGTAAGTAGTTACTCTTTTTTTATTTCTACATATTTTTCTCATAAGTGTAAAATGTTTTTTTTTTTGTCTAATTTAGGCATCATTCCAGTCTGACATTTCACAAATTTTGGTTGAACGTGGCCAACTTCGTACAGAACTACTAGCCAAAGAAAAAGTGTTAAATGATTATTTGCGTACGTAGATGAATGATATAAATTTATGATACAGAATTTTTAGTTTATCTTTCTTTTTACAGAACAACGAAATACACTTACAAATACATTAAAGCAAGTTAGAAATGAAAAAGATGATCTTCTAGTCAAATGCCAGAAATTAAAACAAGAAAAACTTTCAGCTGAGGTGCGTTATTAATTCTTTTAAAAACGGTGTTGACCTAATCAAGTTTTTAATTTAACTTTTTGTTACCACCATTGTCGTTTTTAAACATCAAGGACATAATAAATTTGATTTGATTTGAGTCTAAGTCTTTATGTTCGACTAAGCAATATTTCTTTTATTCTAGTCGGAAAAGGGTGCAAATACAATTCATGTGACGATATTAAAAGAAGAAAAAAACATTTTGGAACAAAAACTATTAGAAAGTACTCAATTACAAGAAGAATATCGAATGAAAAATGACGAGCTTAGTCGTCAACTTTTTCACTCACAACAGCAGTTACTCAAAAGAAGAAGCATATCACCCTCAAGTCACCCATTGAACAGTACAGCTACCAACGAGCAACTTAAAGAAGTATGTTGTGAGGAGGAAATCAATTAGTTAAACGAGAGCCACATCTTTTTTTATGTTTTTTAGATCAAAAAAAGAAATATGGAACTAGAAAAGTTAATAGAATCAATTCATAATAATTATAAGACTGAATTACAAGTAGTCAGAGTTAGTTGAAAATAATAAAACTATGTATGACAACTTTTAACGTGCTTTGTTTTCTCTTCGGTACTATAGGATGAATCAGATGTAAAAGATGCGCAATTAAATGAATTGAATAATCTTGTTAATCATTATGAAAAGAAGGTTGAAGAAAAAGAAAAAAGTAAAAGTATTAATTTACGTATTAAGAGGAAACATTTCATAACAAAATATTGATATTTTTCATATAGATTGTAAAGAACTTGGACAACGTTTAAATGATTTAGGTAAATCATGTCGATCTCAAATGCCAGACAAATGTAAGTAGTTTCATTCTGAAATAAAAATGATAATGGTTACATTGATTCAAGAAAACTGATTGAGATTGAGATAGAATCATCCAGTGAAGAAGAATCTAGCAGCAAACGTCGATAGTTTCAAAATGCTTTTTTGCTCTATAGCCAAAAGGACATGAGCAAACCAACAGATATTTTGATATGCTCGCGAGTTTAAATGTCTTTTTAGTATAATCCAACCTTTTGCACTCAGAGGATAATGTTTTTATTGTTTCAGTGACATTAAGTGAAGAAGACAGACGTACGATCGAAAATGATCCAGATTTTAGTTCCGTTCTGTTCATTTATAAATCATCTAAAAGTCTGTTTGATGTAAGTGTTTCTGATATGTTGTCATATTTGTATCTCTACTGTTTTTATACTTGTTTAGATACTAGTTGATTATTCATTGTTACAAAAACAAATTGAAACATTAACGTCAGCAAAAGAAAAAATCGAATTGCACCATCGACAAAATGAAAAAGTAACAATCAATATTTTTTTTTCTTCTATTTTTATCAACAACATTTATCTTCTTAGGTATTGCGTCAAGCACATTGTGATTTAACAGAATTGAAAACGCAACATGAACGACTAAAAATTATTAAAGAACGTTTACAATTCGATTATGAAGAATGTATTAAAGGGAAACAATTGATACTAAAAGAAAAAAATGAGTTGGATAAACGTTTACATCATGTACAAAAGGAATTTGATGATTGTCTAGATGATTGTAATAACATGCGTTCACAAATTTACTATCTATTTGAAAACAATTGTATCAAAGGCAATTTACCATCATACGATCAACGTTTTCTAACCGATGATGTTAGTGAACGTCTAGGTGTTGTAACATTTTCAACAGTTGAAGAATTATATGAACAATATATGAAATCTATATCGGAAATACGTGAAACTGATCGTCTCTATTCAGAATTAGAAGAAAAAACGCGACAGACAATGAATGAAATGGAAGAAAAAAATTTTGAGTTAAAATCACATTTAGATAAATTGAAATTGAAGTTAGATGAAACAAAAACAGATATTCGAATTGAAACGTTAGCCAAAGAATTGATGGAACAGCAACGACAGAGAGCAACGTCTGCGACTGAAAATATTGGTTCTTCATTATCAACATTTATTTGTCAAACAGATTTAACACTTTCGGATATTAAACTAATGGAATCGACTGTAAAACAATTTGAACAGACAACGGCAGAAATACAAATCGAAAGAACAAGGACAAATGACCAAACGATGTAAGTAGCTACGAGCAACGTGATTACTAACTCAGTTCACATTGAATACGGCTATTGTAGACCCTTCTCACCTTCATTACACGCTTGAATGTGTCAGTTTAAATGTATAAACCTTTTAGTTCAGTAAAAGACACGCTTCGTTGTTAGTTCATAAATTCTCTGAAGATCCAATTCCTATTGTTTTTAGACATTTACAACGTCAAATCGATCATTATCAATTACAAAACGATCTTGATCGGCAAAAGGTTCGTCATCTGGTATATCTACAAAAAAGAAAAGAGAATTTATTCTTGTGTTTGTTTTTACAGTTATCTGAATTACAAACAACATGTGATGAATATCAACGATCGATAACATCGATTTTGAACGATGTGCAAACATCTGAAACAAATTGTCAAGAATTAAAATCTAAAAATCGTGAGTTACAACATAATTACGATTTAGCAATGGGTGTAAGTAAAAAAATCACACACATCTGTTTAATGATGGTTTTAGTTGGTTTTTTATTTTTTAGAATCTAAATGATCTCAAACGAGAATACGATAAATTAGAATTAGATAATCAACATATGAAAAATTTGCAAGATGAGTTTCTTGAACGCCTTAAAAGTGATATTGATACCAAGTTAAATGAGCGTCAAGAGAATAATATCAACGAAAAATTAAACAGATCTATTGAAGAATTAAATGTAAGTTTGAATTTTAAACTACCGATGTAAGAAAAAGAGTGGAATGTAACAGATCTGTTTTATGTTCTAGATTATAATGAAAGATTGTGTAAAGCAAACTGAACGTTGTACAAATACATCGGCTGATACATCTAGTTTAACAAAAATGGAAATTGTTTATCGTCAACTTCAACAACGACATCAACATGATATTGAACAACATCATAGTATCGCTGAATCATTACGAGTAATTCAAATTAGGGTCTATCCTTCTCAAAAACTCTACTTATACTTTCTACTTTCAGCTAAAATTGAGAGATTGTCAAAATGAACTGAAACGTGCTCAGTCTGAACATGATAAAATATGCGATTCATTAGAAACAGAACGATCCGTATATGTTACGAAAGTAAGAGAAAGCGAATGTGTGTATGCCAGTTTAACATTGATCTTCGTTTAGGTAGCTGAGCTAGAAGAAAAGTTACGTAGTGCTGACACAACAACGATTGTGACACGACTATTACCATCAGCAAGTAAGTTAAAGGCTACTATCTTGTCTTTCCTGTGTCAGTAGGAGTTTTGTGTCTACCATTAGCTGCTTACAGACTTACTTATGAACTCCGCTTAGTTTATGTATATAGTAAGGTTCTTTCATACTGCAGATGTTCAAGATCTTCCTTCTGGTTTTGCAGTAATCTTTTATCCATATTTATAGCACTCGAAAATCGTTTGAAAGAAGAAGAAGAACAAACAGCGTCGTTGAGAAGTTTTAATGTCAAACTCAACGATAAAATTGATGCAATACAAAAGGTACTTATCAAGAACTGAAAAATATTTTAATTTCGCTATGAATAATATCTTTCTATTCCAGCTAATGACTAGTGATAAAAAGTTATACGAAGAAAAAATGAATGGCATATTAAAAGAATTACAAGATACTCGAAATGATCGAGATGTACTTGAGAAGAAAATCGCTGACTTGAATGATGAACAACAACGTCTCGTTAATGAATTTAAAGAAAAGGTTTGAACGTTTACTTGTTGATGTTTTATGTACGGTACGAATTGTGTCTTTCTTGTAGGAAGACGCATTTGAAATGGACATATTCAAATTAAAAGCGGATATTGATAATTTGAAATCAACAAATGAAACTTTAAAGCAAACTGTTAGTTCAAGAGAAAATGATCTGGACTTTCTGCAGCAAACAGTAGCTGATGTATGTACGCTAGGAGAGAACAAACAGAATTAGTGATTTTCTTTATGATGTTCTAGTACGAAAAAAAACTGACTGATTTGGAAAAAGAATATCATCTACTTAAAGAAAAATCAGCTCAATATGTCCGACAAAGTGGATTACCCACCAGGTATAACAAAGAAATACCTACTACATCGCATTCGTCTAATATTTCTATTTCTCTTTTAGCGATCTTGAAACCAAAATATCAGACTGGGATGTACATCAAGAAGATTTTGATTCTAGCCAACTGACAACAGTGAGTAATAATAAGTATAATAGGTTCGTTCTAAATTGTTAACATTGTTTAGGCTGATGAATATGCTTTTCAAACGTCGGGTAAATTGAATTAATCGAGTCGTTTATGTTCATCTGCAGGTGTTCCTTTTCAGATCATTTATCACCAAATGACGAAGTTGTTCAACCAAAAACACCAAGAAAACGCTTTCGACTTGCGTATGTATTCTTTGATATGTTAGATTTGTGTAGAAACTAAAGACACCGAACGTTTAAAAGTTGCCTGTGTATTTGTTCTTGTTTTTAACCGAATATAGAAAAGCTAATATTTCTCTCTGGTTTCTATTTTCCAGATCAACAGGTGAACAAACTCCAACAACAACGATGCAACTGCGATCAGTAAGTATGTCGAACAAAAGAATTATTTTTGTTATTTATTATTTTCTCTTACAGAAACGTTCGAGTAGTGTTGATAGTCAAAATTTAATGCGGTTTGATTCATCGCGAGATCAAGATAATGACGTAGATGGTAAGAAAATTTGAAAAGTAAATTATAATCAAGCATTGTCATTAGTTTATTATTTCGGTTTTCGTTAGACAATGATGATGCCCAATCAGTCATTTCAACCCAATCAGAGCCAGCATCAACGAAAAAACGAAAAGTAGGTATTATCTGTCTTTCTTGCTGATTTGTTTCTGTTAACTTGTTTCTTTTCAAGTATCGTCGTAACGAACGTCTAGAAATACCAGAATATAAATTACCAGCTGTTCAAGAAGAAGTTATACAGGGCGAAGAAGATGTTCCAAAAGGTAACATTCTTTTTTTTATCTCGCTGTTATATTTTTATATTTAGCGAGTTGTCTATTTTGTCATTATAGATGGTGCATCTCAACAAATAGCTTATCACACACGTTCACGATTGAGAAAACAAACGCGACGTAAGTAACAAAGTGTTTTAATGAAAACTGTAATTTATAGTTAATATTTATTTCTCAGGTAATTAGGGGGTACATAACGCTTTTCTGCAATCTTTTATTTTTAAGAAGCATAGAGTTATTTATTTTGCTAAAAAAGTATAATTTTACTTGTTTTATTTGAACAAACAAATGTGTAAGAAAAAAACACATGTCTTGACTGAAACTTGAACTCAGAACATGGGATTAATGATAATAATTAAACTAAATTGCTATCACAAGGTATCAGACGGGTCATTGTTTATTTCCAATAACTGATCTTTAATTATTGAAGTTCATTTTATATATACTTATATATATATATATATATATATATTGAGTGTTCCTTGATCGCCGGTCACTCATGCCATTACTCATCTCTTACTACGGTTTTAATGTATGTGTTTTTTTCTTACAATTATCTTTTTTTAACAAAGTCAAAGTAGTAAACTTATATATTTTGCTAAGTTTCACATAACTAGGAATATTGATGCACTTTATTTCTTATTTGTTTTAGTTCAGCCAAATCAAACAACATGAGTAAATTTATTTGGAAGTCGTATTCATTTACTTTTTTTTCTGATAAACTTGTATCTGGGTATTTTTCCTTGAAAGAAGTAATGATAATACTTCTTTAGTCAAAGCATCTTTTTTTATCTGATTTTTTTCGTACAGATGTAGACTTAAGAATTGTTTTATACTGTTTATTGTTTGTGTACGTGAATGTCTATAGTCTGTTGTATATTAATGTGATTTTTCTCTTATACTCAGCCTGATTTCTTCTTTTATAAAGTACTTTTTTTATCATATGGCTGATATTTGTGTTGATAAAAGAATGTGAGCATACGTTTATGAAAAACTTATTTTCTGTTCCATGCTACGTCATCAATTCAATAATACTCTTCATCTTTTATGTTTTTTCTCTGAGTCAGATAGTCTTATATTAAACATTATTCAATTCTTTATTGCAAAAAAGAACTGTGAGACAAAAAAAAATGAGTAAAAATATACGTATGTTAAGTGTTAGATGATTTAAAAACTTGGATTACCAAATCCCATTTCTCTTTGTACTGCCGTGATTTCATCCATTAATGGTCCTGGTGGCAAATCGAGCTATAATTACAAATAAAACTTAGAAGACTACTTTCAACATAGTTTGGTACGATACTTTAATTGCATATTTAAAAGCATTTTCGGCTTCGATTGTTCGTTTTGTTTGGAGACATATCAACGTTAGATATGCCCATACCTCTGAAATAATGCAAGAGTGATGAACTAACTTTTCACTAACTTAAGCTAAGTTATATTAGCATACCTGCATTTCGATTATTTAAAAAGTTGGCTTCAGTCAATGCTTCTTCAGCATCATCGTATTGATTCATCTGCAAAATACGTGGAATTGACATTTTTATATGATTAAATTATCAAACTAAAGTGCGTTACTTACCCTGTAACATGCTACTCCGACTCCTAGCCACGTTGTACAAGTTGGCTGATGTCTACAAGCCCGAAGAAATATATCTTTAGCCTCTGCATACTAAAATATTCGTATAATAGTTGTTCAATTCTCATACTATGCGCTTCAAAATCTATTTACGCTCTCCTCTGCAAGTAGAATTGAACCTAATCGAACATAAAGTATATGAATATCTGACGGTTTTTCACTGAATGCCAATGTTCGTTGATAACGTCCTAAATATAGAATTGAAATATTTATAGTTGTCTTAAAATAAGACATGTCTAACAGACAATTACCTTTTGCTCCAGGAAAATCTAACTGTAAGTATTTAATATGACCCCACAAATTCCAAGCTTCTGAATTCTAAAGAGTCAAATATTTCTCTCATTTATATTAGGTACCAAATTATCATTCTTACTTCATAATCAAGTGACAACGCTTGTGTTATATGTGTTTCAGCGGCAGTGAGATCTTGTTGCAAGATTTTTGATCTAGTTAATGCTATTTCGACTTGTTGATCTTTTCCACCGTTTGTTACGATTTCATATGCTAATGATTTCTCGGCCCACTGTATAAAAAAGAGCTTTCAGATGCAGGAAAGCAAATGCACAATTCGTTCTTACCGTTGCCATGTTGTATTTTAACAGAAATTCTGCTGCTTTGATAAAAATACTTTTTTTTGTCGTTTTTTCAACGTCTGTTGTATCTTGTGATTTTCTTGTCGGCACTTGTTCATTCGTAGCTGATTTTACTTTTTCTAAAAACATTTTTATAATTCAATTTAAAATGTCGATATATTCAACTGAGACTAAAAGACTAAAAAAATAAAAATTGCGAACCTTGTTTTTTACTCATCTTGCTACTTCGACTCAATCGACTTTTTGAAGCAACATTCAGTTGAGACTCTGAGCTCTTCAAACTCTCTTCTAAAGGATAAAATACAAAGTACAAATACAAATACAATACATAACATACAAAACGTAGCTGAACTTAATATAACGGATAAAATAAAACAATTAGAAGCCCGTATGGTAAGATAGCATTGAAGTGTTTTTGTTTGATTTCCGACTTTTTGATCTTTTTTTGCTGCTTTATCAATTTCGACTTTTTGACGAATATTTAGAACTTCTGGAAAGAGATTTTGATTTTAGCGATGATCCTTTTTCGTGTTTATACACTTTTCTTTCATTTTTCTTTTTTGATTTGTCCTTTTTCTTTGCGTGAACAGTCTCACCAAAAATTACATGAACAGTACAACTATCCGTTAGTTGGACACGTCTCTAGCAGACGTCAAACAGGAGTTTTCTCAATGTTTAATATGGTCTTTATATGATTGCGTGCTCTCTCCAGTTGTCCCTTGTATTACCTTTGTCCTCTTTTTCCTCTTCCTCCTTTTTCTCATCGGTCGGTGTCGCCTGCTGATTTGCATGATCTTCTGCCATTTGTGATAGACGATGTGTTTTTTCCGCTTTACTAAGTGTTATTTGGGAATTTGTTTCATTTCCAATATGTTTTTGAAATATTCCTAAATATGTATAGAATTTTTAGACATTCGTAAATATATTTTTGTTCATTTTATGAATATTTTCGTACCATATAGCGCGCATGCTACAACATTTTCACTATCTTCGCTTATTGCTGTTTCAAAAAAGAGTTCAGCAATATCATTACGTTCTAATATCGCATTTAAAACAGCATACAATATTGTCCTATACAAAAATAAAATAAAAAAAAAACACTAAATAAAAGCGATAATAAATTATTCTTGAAACTTACGCTGTACTATTTGTTTGATCAATTGCAATACACTCTTTCAAACATTCTTCAGCTTTTGTGATATCGTTAACAAGTAGATGAAACGCTGCATAATCGAGCCAAGCATTTAAATTAGCACGATCTTGGGCAATACGCTTTAATAAAAAGACAAAGAGTGTATAGAAAAAAAATTTAGTGTTTTTCACAATAAATATACTTCTTGATAGTATTGTGCAGCAGAAAGAAAATCCCCATTGCTTTCGGCTTCAAGAGCAAATATACGCAATTGAGCATCATCATGTTTTAAAGTTGGTATTGGTTCTGATTCTTCTATATTCAATGTGGAGTTTAATGAATTATGCATTTCATCCAATAAAAATACATATAATTGACTAATAAATGTCTAAAACACATAATTTCTTTTTTCTTTTCTGACACAATTATACTTTTGCATGCAAACCTGTAATTCATCCTGATTGTCAAATTTACTTGTTTTCAAAAATTTTTCACGCACGATTTTAACAACACTAAAGTATGTACGAAACACGAACAAGATATTAATTAAAGAAAAATATGTCTACGTATTCATACCTATGCTTCAATTGTTCTTTGAATGCAAAGTATTTACCAGTAGAATTTAGTTCATATAAAAGTTTTCGACGTCTAAACAAAGTTTTAAGATAATCTTGTAGTATCACAATGTTTGAATGCAGTTTACAAAAGAGTCGATCAGACTTTCGTACGAATAACCAATATTATATAACTATATCAGGGATTTTGATGCAATTTTTCTTCATTAAAGAAAAAGTTCAACTTACTTTTGATCGTTTGGCATAACATCAGACGTTGAATCTTCTCCACATAGTTTCCTAGATGATTTATAATAAGAAAAGTTTGCAGTAAGATGCAATAAAAAGATATTGATCTCATACCTATATTCTTCTAGAACAAGACCAGCGACATTTTTAATTTGTGAATGATAATCTTCAACTGCTTTCTGTGCACTATTGACTTTGACCGGATAATTCGGTCGTGGAGGAATTAATTCAGCGATTCTTATAAGAGAAAATAATTTATGAATTTTATTCTACCAGAATTATTCAGTAACATACTTTCGAGTAAGTTCATATAATTTACGCTTTTCAATAATTGGCTTTTCAAATGCAATTTCCACTATGATATACGAATTATGTTCAACATATTGTTGTGCTTCAGTTGTTGCTACGTTTTCGTCACCCGCTTCGGGTTTCTACAAAAGATTCAACAGAAGATCATGTTCAAGTAGTATTTTACCATCGCAAAACGCGTAAGAAGGAGTTTGTCTATTTATACTGAGAGTTTCGTAAAACAGCGAACAAAATGAGCAAATAATAATGCAAAAAAAAGAAATCAACGCTTTTTGCTATTTCTGTAAAAATCCACCTGTTCAATGCTACTCATTTTTTCTGTTTTTTGCTTCTTCCCAATTTGATTTCGTTTTTCTGGGAATTTTGATTCTGGTGATGATGAGACTCTTTCTTGTTTTCTTCGTTTTTTTGAGCTCGAGCGTGAAGGTGATTTCGAGGCCGACTTTCTACGATTATTTTTCTTCTGTCGAGGAAAAAAGAGTAAAAATTGTGTTAAATAAGAGGTGAGGAAATTCTGTGGTGGCTCTGTGAGTTGGTTAAAAAAATCTGTGTAGAAAGAAAAATGGTGGTGCAGAACGTTTAGACTTCTGAATGAAGTCAATAACAACTGTGTAAATACTTTTGACCCTTCAAACTCAATAGTATGGTTTCTAAAGCCGAGAAAAACAGCTGAGAGGAGAAATATTCTGTGAACTACGATGAAATTGAGTGCATACGTTACCCTAGACAAAATCCTACGCACTTCCTGTCTATTTCCTACTACAATCTTACAGGATCTTCGCATTTAGGATCCACCTAATAACTTCCTAGCAGGATCCTATCAGAATTTCGCTTAAGTTTGTTTAGGATCCTAACAGAATATTAGAAAATCCTATGGCTTTCGGGTATACCTGATTTCATTAGGATTCTGTAGAATTTTGTTAAGATCCTAAGAAATTAAAGCGAAATCTTAGTAGGATATGTCTCGGATTCTGGCATGAAACTCATAGAGATTTTACTAGAGTAGTTGTTCACGTAATATTTCTCTATTTTTTTTTAGTAGTTGTTCATGCAATATTTCTCACAAGAGAATATGTTTGACGGTTTCATTTTCGCCACACGTACACAAGGTATAAAAGCGCAAGAGATCTGCATTCACTTAAGAGAAGCCTATTTTGATCAAGCGAAGTATATCTCAGTACATCTCAGATATATTTCAGCTGTTCGAGATAAAAGAAAAATTATTTATAAGTTCAATGTTTACATCACTCACCTTTTTTACGGCAGTCATAGATGGTTTATCACTGATTTTTGCATCTTTTTTCGGTGTTTGAGCCCATGCACGATCATATAAAGAGCCAGCAATGCGCATGGCATCATCAATCAAATTATTTGAGCGTTTAGTCTGAAAGAATACATAAATATACTTGAAGTGATTTCAGGTAGATGCAATAGCGGATCTATGAAAATTTCAAAAGAGAAACAAAATTTTCAAGAAAAAGTATCCATTTCTAAGCAGTTTTCAGAAACATTTGCTTTTTGTTTTTTTCTCAACACTTTTTCTGAAGAAACACAAAAGCTTTTTAACGAACGGTGGGTCTTATGCAAAATTTTCCAACGGAACCCCTTAAATTTACTATCGCGTACATGGCATTAGCTGTTAACTTTCTTACTTTTGCTTTATATTCACTTTCATTATAAGGAACAATTTTAAACGCACCACGTAATCTAGTAGCTAAAACGAATTAAACTATAATTACATTCGAAAAAAAACACACGGATACTTACTTCCAGGATAGAGTAATGGAACAGTTTCAACATATGCTACTCCATGATAAGACATTCCCGCTTCTTCATCCTAAAACAACAAATTTTTATTTATTTAAATATGAAACTAAATATTTTTCTAAAAAGTATGAAACTAAATAAAACGTTCGAGCACAGAAAACGTTTTTCATCAACTTGAAAAAAGACGGTGATTGATCACGTTAACACTTTATTGAACGAAAAGTAAAAGGTTAGTATATACATGTCTATAGGTAGCATTCTAAAACGCACACTGGCATAATAGTTCTAGTTCTTCTGAAAATGTCATAGTTCTAAAGTAATGCAATTGTTTCCGCAGACTTCAATTTAACAAAATCAGATGAGAAAAAAGACAATGATCTCTCAAACATAGACTAATTGAAAATATCGACTCTCTAATAAGATAAAGGATCACACATGTTTCACGCCATGCATATTTTCGGAAGAAATAAACTGCAAAGAATATTGCTAAAAAAAATACTCACCAGTCTAAATGCCTAGAAAAACGAATAAAGATGAGAATATTACCACTTAATTTTGTTTTTGTCAAAATTTCTCATTTATAAACATTGAAATTAACGGTGAAAATTAAACACATAAGTACCTTTTTTCCTTTACCCGCTGTTGGTGCCGTTGTTCGCGCAACTTCGATCGGTAAATATGGAAATTTCGTTATTCGATCACGTAGCCTAATATTTTGAAAGAAAAACTTCATTTTTCATATAACATAATCTAAGTCAATGAGCTTACACTTGACTACCATTTGGCAGAAAGAAACATCGTCTTTCCATATTCCATACGACTTGTGGTTTCATTTTTTCGGCATTTGTTCGAAATTCTTTATCATCTTTACTTCTCAACTCGCCTTGTTCATCTTCAATCTGCTCTTCTCCAACTGTTCTAGTAAAATTTAAGCAATACAATTTGAATAGTATCCTCAGAACGCAAAAAATAGATCATTTCTTGTATGATACTCTACCTCCCCGGTATGTAGATACCATTTGCCGTAGCAATACCGCGTGCATCTGGCCATCTTTTTTGCTTATTAGTAATATCATTTGGATTTTTTAAATTACCATTTGTAAATACAACATTCGTTTCTTTCTGAATAAAAAACAAATTAAATCGTATAAACTAGCTGTAATTTTGTTCATATTTCTTACTTCATCTGCAAGTGGCATCGGCAGGGTAGCTGTGTACACAAAATTCGCTCCCGTTCCAACCCAAGCGTCTGGCGGTGAGTATAATCCTTCAATTGTGATTAATGCTGAATTTGTTTGAGCTTCGTCTTTAGATGGTACAAGTGGTTGATCGACAGTTACATTTACGACAAGACTTGGCTGGAAAATAAAATACAATTGAAATTTTCATTGGCAAAATGAAAGGAGGCCAATAGTCTCATCCGAAAATATTCTGAAAAATGTTTTTTCCATTTGTCTTTGATTTTTTAAACCAAGAAAAAGCAGCGAAAACGTTTTTGCCAAATAAAACTTTTGTTATGATTTCAAAATTGAAAAAATGTTTTATAACATTCTAAGAAATAGAAAACAAAATATTACTTTACTTCTTTCTTTTTAATTATTTCGTACTCGTTAGTTGATAAAGAGACACCTGTGTTTGTAACCGTTTATGTATGAAAACACGCATTTTTTGATGTTGCAAAAATGGCAAGAGTTCTATCCACTTTTTCGACTTTAAAAAACAGTTGATGCCGTTTAGAATACGGGCAAACAACCAAAAAGTAATAACATTTTTTTTTCTTAGGTAGCTGAAAAAGCTTTTCGAATGAGAAAAAATCAACGTTAACATGGCAATGAGTCAAAGCAGTTTTTTGTTTATTTCATTTACCAGATTTTGTTCCGTTGTTTGTGATTCAATAAATGAGCCAGGAATTGGATATATGGGAAGAGTGCAGGATATTTGAGTCTCACCTACAATTAAGTACAGAATAAAAATTATTTTAAGTTTAAAATTTTTCTCACTGTAATACCTTTTAATAGTGACCAAAGATCCAATATGGCTTGTCCAATTGCTGTTGATTTATCTTCTTTTTGCTTCTTATCTTTTGGTACTGCTTCCAATAATGTAACTAGAAAAGAAATGCGTATATTTTTAATAAATAATTAAGTTCAATTAACAAAAATTTGATTCACTTAGTACTGGTTTTTGACCAAGATCATCAATTTGACTCGGGTCTGTTGCATTTAATCCTAATATTGCAACAAAGTCAATTTGTCGTTGAGTAACATCACCAATATCAAATTTTGGTGATTCCGAGAATTGATTATCATTATATTCAAAACGAAGAAAAACATTTAACGGTTCGGCTTTCGGACTTTTCTATAAAGAAACTAAAATATCGGTTTTTCTTCTCTTCTTTATTTCACATCGATCATTTTCTTACCAAATTTTGTATTTTCAAAACATTTATATTGATTTTATTTGGATGTTTGTCGACTTTTTCTCCTCTCTGTGCCATCTGAAAAATGAACGATTACTACTCAAACGACTGATTCATAGATAAAAGTTTTATATTAGAAGACTGCTGCCTTAATTTAAAACGTCGAAAATAAATGGGAAACAAAAAAAAAACAGAAAATTTGTTACAAATCATTATTTAACTTCGAAATTTATCAACAGGAGAGATACAAGACTTAAGCATCTTTGAAGATATTTGTTTTTTCAAAACGTTTGGGAGTTTTGTGAGAAGTTTTCAATCTACAGAATGCTAAATCGTATTCAAGATACGATTTTTAAATTTATTTTCTCCTATAAAAATTGTAATGTGACAAATGAAAAGAGACATTAAAAGAAAGCATTCCGTAGCAACACACCATAATTGTCTGTACATAATATAATCGTCGACGCTTGTGCATATATGAATTGAAGTATGACATGAAAAGTACGGAAGCAGTGCACCAATTGTAAGACGAATGATTCATCGATCAAAATGTGTAGAATGAGCTTGCTTTTTTTCTTTCTTTCGTTGAAATAATTTTATTACATCCAACTTATTTGATTTAGAAGAAGGATTTACAAAATGCATGTAGAAAACTAGGGAACTCTCCAATATGAACAGAAATATTCCTAGATAACCAACATGAAAAAATAATGTGACCTTTAGTGTTTTCAATAAATATAGTCTCAAATGGAGCCACAATTTTTGTATTTTCTTGAATGAATGTAAGGAGCCATCAGACATTAGTTCCTTTAAACCAGTTTGTCTTAAAAAATCTATTGTTTTTTCGGACTTCTCGGTTTTTTTAGTGATATGTTTATTTTTGCTACACTCAAGAAATTTCTCGCTTACTTTTCAGATAAAGTTTTATAAATGCCGGACTATCTAGGCGACGATCAACGTAAGACGAAACCGAAAGATGATAAAGATGAAGATAAACCTATTACAGGTATAACGATCTTTGACTATAAATCATATTTGTAAATTAGTTTTTATTTATTGATCTATGTAGCACTTGATGAAACTGAAATTGCTCTTCTAAAATCATACGTAAGCCTAAATTATTCATGAAATTACTCTGATAATTTATGTATGCTCTATATTAAGGGAGCTGGACCATACGATAAAGCAATCAAACAAACAGAAGAAGATGTACAATCAACACTAAAACGTGTGAATGAGTTATCTGGTAAAAATATTATTTTAGCTGTTTTGAATTAAAAACACAAATCGTTTCTATTATTCTAGGAATTAAAGAATCAGATACGGGTTTGGCACCACCGGCGTTATGGGATCTTGCAGCTGATAAAACTGCGCTACAAAGTAAGCTTAAATACCTCTTAAATGATGTATCTAATAAATGTTTTTATTTCTTTAGGTGAACAGCCATTACAAGTGGCAAGATGTACAAAAATAATCAATGAAGGCAGTGAAGATGCAAAATATATTATTAATGTTAAACAATTTGCAAAATTCGTTTGTCGATTTAGCTGACACTGTCTCTCCAACAGATATTGAAGAAGGAATGCGTGTGGGGTAATTTTATTTAATTTTTTATTTAAAATATTTCTTCTATTGTTTCTTTTTTAATTTTTTCAGTGTTGATCGAAATAAATATCAAATTCATCTTCCATTACCACCTAAGATTGATCCATCTGTCACCATGATGCAAGTGGAAGAAAAACCAGATGTAACATACAGTGATGTTGGAGGATGTAAAGAACAAATAGAAAAACTTCGTGAAGTTGTTGAATTACCACTTTTACATGTAAGTATGTCATATTTTTCTCTCACAATAAACAAAATGTTTTATTTTGTTTTCTAGCCAGAAAAATTTGTTAATTTGGGTATTGAACCGCCAAAAGGTGTTTTATTGTATGGACCACCAGGCACGGGGAAAACATTATGTGCAAGAGCAGTTGCTAACAGGTAAAAAATGAATCTGTTTCTCTCCCTTTTTATCTCATTGTTT